AAAAACACAATAAAGTACACAGAAAACCGTGTTAAGCAATCGAGTGGTCAGGCGGACCACCAGTGGGTGGCACCCCAAAGGACCCAGCTTTTACACGATAAATCGTGTAAAGCGTGTTAAAAAATCGTGTAATTCACAGACGGACTGAGTACCCAGTGGGCACAACCCCAAAGTACCCTATATTTTACACGGAAAACCGTGTCGCGTACTTGATAAGGGGGTGAGTACCCAATGGGTACCACCCGATAGCACCCAGTTTTTAACACGAAAAACCGTGTCATGCATGCAACAAGCATGCTAAATACCCAGTGGGTAGCACCCCCGAAGACACGATTTTTACACGGAAAATCGTGTTCCAACTTGGCCTGCAAGGCACGCACAACAACACGCAAAATTGTGTTAGTACACGGTGGACAAAAGTACACGATGTCCAAAACTACACGATGGCCAAAAAAGTACACGATCATAAACTACACGATCGCCAAAACCGTGTAATTTTTCCAGGAAAAGTACACGATGAAAGTACACGAAATTGTCCACCTTACGTCCATGCACAACCCGATTTTTTACACGGTTTTACACGATTTAACCCGTGTACCAGCGCCAACCGTGTAAAATCGTGTAGCAAAGTACACGATTTTTTACACGATTTTTACACGGTTTTACACGATTGTACACGATTGAACACCGTGTAAAAATGCCGATTTTTTCCTAGTGTTAGGTATGACAACGCCTCCGGAGGCGTTGCAAAGGGATCCCTTTACATAAAATGCAGTTTGACTTATTTCCACATCAATGCAATGATTTCCACAATTGGCACTTTTGCACCAGACATTGCCATTGTCCGTCCAGCACATCAGCATCACTTCAACATCCTTGATCATCGCCAGTGTTGTAGTGTGACTAGTAATCTAGATCGTATCTCGCAGCCTGCGTTTTCCCAGTATTACAGCAAAGCAGGCTTGGTTTTTACGTTTATGTTTACGTTTTTACTTTTGCGTTTTTACGCGTAAAAACGTAAATTTGCAAAAGGGCCTATTTTTACGGCTATTTTTACGTTTTTGCGGGTCCCTGCGACGCCTAGGTTACACGATGAAAGTTGCGTACAATGATCGGTGCTCCGCCATGTCCAGCACCCGTAGCACAATGTCTACATTGCCTTGGCAAGGGCGATCATGGGGTTTAACAAAAACTCGTTTTCTGCCCCTTCCAGGGCGTCTGGCTGCCACTCTTCGGACTCTGCAAGTCTGCATGTACTGTCCTTATTCACACCAAGCAGTTTTTACGTTGTATTTACGTATTTTTACGCATTTTTACGCATAAAAACGTAAAAACTGTTTTTACGCGTAAAAACGTAAAAACTGTTTTTACGCGTAAAAACGTAAATACGATGAGTTTTTACGGCGTAAAAGCCAAGCCTGCAGCAAAGGATATGGTATCATCTTGGTATTTTTGTTTGGCTATGGATTCATTTGATGGCCGCAAGCATGATCGTCACTCATGTCTCCTGAGTCGCAATCTTCAGGACTTGAACACTTCAACACTTAGAGTCTTTCGAATATCTGCTCAAGGCTTCTTGGCCAAACCACCATGGCTTGCACAAGTAAATTGCCTGCCACATTGCATGGCGATGCTTTTTATCTTGTGTCTCTTGGACTTGACGTCTTCGCAGTTCTCTGATCAAAGTAGCCCAGTGACATTCAAATCCAATGGCTGCCCTTCGCAGCTCCAAGGCCGCACGATTGTTCAGAATACAGCTGCATCATGCAGCTGTATTCGGTGAGGATCCCTGTGGCTCCAGGTGGCACGTCACGTTGACAGCTCAGTGACGCGTCCGTGGGATGGCAGCGCGAGGGGGGCACGGAGAGACAGGTACAGGCCGGATCTCAATGAACGCCAAAGGGCCGGAGGCCGTCACATCACATGCATCCCCAGGGTAATGTCAGTGTCCACTGGACAGCAATATGTCATAACAGCACCCCACGGGCAAGAACCTGCACGGCAGGTCCGTGGGGTAATGTTTGCGGACAAGGCACAACGTCGACTGAGCCTCAGCATATCAGGCACTCAAACTTCGACGCTGCCGGGTCGTGCGTCCCTGGCGCGTCGTCGACCGGGCCGACATTGTGGACGCCCTCGCGCGCCTCTCGCCATGGCAAACCTCAGGTCGAGAGGCCTTCCGCGAGCGTGCTGTCTGGCGGCGCTCACAGCGTTCCTTGCCTTGCTTGGCACCCCGGGCGTCCACGCGGCCAGCGAGTGCGCCGAAGAGCTGATCTACGAGTCCCGCGAGGACATACCCCCGCGCTTTCGGTGGAACCCGGCGGACGTGTTCGAGGACAGGGAGGCGTTCGACGACGCCGTGGCCGCCGCGGAGGCCTCCATCCCCGAGATGGGGAGCTGGAAGGGAAGGCTGGGGAACCGCACAGAGGACATCGTTTCGGCGCTGAACGCCTCGCACGAGCTGGGCCGCAGCGTAGGTGAAATCTACTTCTTCGCGAGAATCCAGGTCCACGTCAACGCAAGCGACCCGGGCGCTGCAGCCATGTTTGGCGTGGCGTCCGCCCTACTTGCCCGCGCGGAGGAGGCCGTGTCTTTCGTTGAGCCGGAGATCGCGGCGCTGCCCCGGGCCAGGTTGGATGCCCTGCTGGAGGAGCCGTCAATGGCGCCCTACCGACACGTGATCGACAACGTCAACAGGACCAAGGCGCACATCCGGTCTTCCGAGGTGGAGCTGGTGCTGGCCGGGGCGGCGGAGCTCACGCTGGGCCCGCGGGACATTTCCGACCACCTGCTGAACAGCGACATAGTCTGGCCCACCGTTGCTGGTGAGAACGGGGAGGACGTGCAGGTGACGCCGGCCACATACGGCCGCATCTCCAGAAGCCTGGACCGCGAATTCCGAAGAGCCGGGCGCGCAGCCCTTCTTCGGACCTACGAGGCATTTGGCAACACGCTGTCGGCCTCCCTGGCGACCCACGTGCAGGGCCAGGCGTGGATAAGCAGAGTGAGGGGCTACAACTCCAGTCTGGAGAGGGCGCTGGACGAGGTGAACGTCTCCGCGCGGGTGGTGCGGTCGCTGGTGGCCGCCGTGCACGGCAACTTTGGCGCCGTGCACAATTACACGGCGCTGCGGAAGAGGGCCCTGGGGGTCGAGACCCTGTATCCTTACGACGCTGGAGTGAGCCTGGTGCCGAACGGGGAGAAGAGGTGAGGATCGCAATGGGGCGCCGGCGTTCCAATGCGCATTGGCATGACGGCACGGGAGCATCGCGATTGCAACCAGCCCCCCCCCGGTCCTAATGTGACCTTCGCGTGATGGGCGACACCACGCTTGGAAAATATGGATACGGCCTAACATAACAATACGGTAAAATATGCGTGCTGTCACTTATTTTTAGTTTGGGCCTAAAGTACGTCTAAAAATACTGCAATTTTACGGTTACAACCTTAATGACATGCAAATTCAATCATTTGGCATCCATGTCTGACCCACCCACGACATCGTCACCCACTGCTCTCTACAACAGCAACTACGCCATTAGACAACTTCTAATCCTCAAGCCACTGAAGAGCGTCAGGGTACCAATTGCTCTCACAACCTCAATGACATGCACATTCAATCAGTCAGCATCCATGTCGCTTGGCAGACGGATTGACGCTGCTGCCCACATTTGCAACTTCATTGCACCGTTTCATCTCATGGCGCTCCTCCTGCAAGGGCAAATCTCCAGAGAGTTTAGACGGCCTCCGGCACGTTCCCGCAGCACACACCCGGATCCAGCGATGCTAACCAGACGGCAACATTGGCGTTCATTGCCACCCGTCACAATGACGCCACAGTATACACACATTCAAAGCTTGGCTGCGGCATCTGCGAAGTGCTTTGCAGTGTTAGGGTCCTTCGGAATTGCCACTCAAACTTGCCAGCATGCTTGTTATATACGCCATAAAAAGTGATTGTGTTTACGTCTTTAGGCGTAAAGATAGTTTTGGCGTTTTTACGCATTGAAGCGCATAAAAATACTTAAATACAAGGTGGCTTTTGCGGGTGCTCGTGGGGGTAGAAGATTGATCATTGTACGCCACATTCACGATGTAACCTCGTTGTCACAACCAGCCGTAAAAACGTAAAATACAGCCGCAAAATTAGCCCCTTTTGCAGATTTACCATATTATGCATAACAACGTACTTCCTCCGTCCCATATTGAATGTTTTTTATTTGAAGTACAAAATTCATTATAAAGAAAGCTTCAAAGGTACAAAACAAGGTTAGAATCAGAAAGATTGGGTCTCAAAACCCCCAACTACCAATTTTTTAGGGAAGAAAGTCAGTCCCACTCCTTGAAGGGCACCCTCAAAATTTCCCTTGGATTCGGAAAAGAAATGGGCGTGCCGATTCCGGCTCCGCTGGATATCTGCACGGTTCTGGGTCACTCCTGTCCCGGACAACCAAGGAGATGGCTTCGCCACTGCCGTGGTTAAGGGTGACACCCCTTGCGTGGAATAGTGCTGGTCCAACACGGCCGACGGTATTTGGATCGTTGTTGTTGAAGGCCATCGTCACAATGTTAACAATGCCAGAATTCGCTGCGACCCTAGATCCGATATGCAAGAACATGCCACCAACTGAATAAGCCAAGATCCAAGGCGCTCAAGCCTAAGCCCTGTGTGCTTTATCACTCCAAGGTATCTGTGTGGCTCTGCATAGGCATCTCGCCTCAATTGATCCTCGAATCGAGGCCTTCCCGGGCAGCTTGGCCCACGATCCATGAGTTGCCACCAACAACCACCTCTTTTGTGCAGTCCACAATCCATCACCACCTAGCTAGTTTCTGTTTGTGAAAGAGACATGACGTTAGCCATCTAGCCGTTTGCCTCGTGCCTAGCCGTTTCAAATTCCACAACAAACCCAATTTCGCCAATCTCGCGTTGACAGCAATTCCCACAAACGGGCACCGCTGAATGCGGTGCTGGGCTACACCTTCTCTGTCGCCTTGTCAGGGGGTTTCAGAGTCACCCTTTGTTGTTTTGACGGCACCAATAGAGGACGAAAAGTCTTGGCCCCAAAAATTTGGGGTCGGAAGTTAGCTCCGGTCCAGCCCAACACTGAATTTCAGCTCTAAGCTACGGCGAATTATACGATCAGGGCCTTCGGAACGCAATTCCTATCGCCTCACTTCCTCACAAGCACCAAGCCGACCTTTTGTCCCAATGGCATGGATAGTTTTGCACGGGCGGCTTTGTTTTGCAGCTGCGAACGTGTGCTCCTCGAAATAATGAAAACGGCCGTTTTCGCGAAATCGTTGACAAACCGATGGGATTCTGGCAAGAGGACCCTTGCTACAAAGTACTACCAAATCATCAATACTTGACATATTGACTTCAAATTTTGACAGCATACTGCTAAAAGCCAGGTACAGCTTTGGACAAAACTTAATTGAAAAACTATAATATGTAATGGAGAAATGATGCTCCGAATTCGTAGAGGACATTTAAGATGGGATGGAGGAACTAAAATGTAAGCGTGAATAACAAGCCTGCCTTGCCGCATCCACAGCATGCCCAACTCTCTAAGGTCACGGGTTTGTGGGATGCAAGTGGCAGGTCGCATTCATTAGTTGGCGTAATTCATTGCAATTAACACAATTGATTGAAAATACGTCTAAAAATACGCACATCTTAGAATTTTATCAAAATATGCGTATTATTGCGTATCTTTGTTTGGACCCATCCTTATTTCCCAAGCTTGGGCGGTACGTTTTGTTGCGGTTTGGGACCGTAGAGTGTGCAGACACAGTTGAGAAAACAGCCACAACCGCTCCCCAACAACAAGCGTGGGGGGCAACCTGCTCACAGGACCAACCACATCACCTCTACTTCAGAAGTCTTGCACATTAACTTAGCATGCAATAACTTTTCAAAAACAACTCAATTTGTCAATCCGTCGCCAGATTTGGATTCTTTGATTGATTTTGGGTTGTTGTGGATATTGATAACAACAACCATCACAATACAATAATTTGCACAGCTTTATTAAAAAATCCCTGTCCAGTTCTGTCCAGACCTTCAATAGAGATAGTACCTGTACAATGATCTTGTCCCTTTCTCTGGTGCCCACAGATTTATGGATCCCGCCAAACACAACAGGAGTGATTTAAACCAATCCAAACATAAAGTTCAGTGGACCATACATATTTCAACCCATTCTGCCATTAGTCTAAGACAAGAAGTAGTGTCTCAGCTGCATCAAATTAAGTGCAAGCCCAGCGCTTCGGATCCTGGCTAAGCATACAGGCCAGAAGGCGGTTGTAGGCCAGAAGACGGTTGTGGGCCAGAATATGGCGCCAAATAGCAGCATGTCGTCATTTTAGTGCATGCTAGAAGTGGAAGCGAATTCGCACTACTATTGCCAAGGTTGCTTGCTCGCCTTCTTTGCGTGTGCTGTGGCCCCCACCGCATGATGGAGGCTGCGTCACACAGCCTAGGCGAAGGTGCAGTCGGCTATCGAATTCAATTCCCAATAGCAACAATTTGTTGATGAGCACGATCTTGGCTGGAGACACTGCGCCATTACTGATTGTGGATCTGTACTCTATATATCAGTCTTGTCAATTTGTTCCGCTGCTGAGATACTGCGTTTTGAATTCATCAAGCTATCCATAAGGTCACATACATGCAGCCAGAGAGCGCGTTCGCAAGTTTATAAATACTTTACCAACCAAAGAGAAAAAACAGACGAGTGCCAGATTTTCACACAATTGCAAGCAGCGTTCCACATTTTGATACAAAATTCATTATGGAATGTACGTGCACCTTTATGTGAGCGATTGTATAGACACAATAGCTGGGTCACTTGGATCACTTCATCCAAACTTTAGAACCCTGGTTCTTCCCATTTTGCGTTGATTCTCGAATAGTCGCCAGCGCAAACAGTCCTTTGCGTACAAGTCGATCCGCATGGAGGCAAGTTCAGCATGCATGATCTTCCCTGGTGCAATCGCCCAGGTACTGCTTCGAGGACGCCTGGACCATGGCCATGACATTCTGGAGGGAGATTTTCGGCGAAGAGTATGCGTCAGTCGCTGAGACAGCATTCGCGAATCGATGGATAGACGTCTTCCCTAACACAGGAAAATGGGGCGGGGCGTATGCGTGGGTTGCGTACGGAAATCACCCCTACATGCTGCTCAACTGGGGAGGCACGTTCAATGACGTGGTCACGCTGGTTCACGAAATGGGGCACGTGGTTCACATGAATCTCACGCACACCAATCAGCCCTATCACTATTCGGGCACTTCCGTGTTTGTGTCGGAAGTGGCTTCGGTGACAAGCGAGAACCTTTTCATAGATTGGGCCATAGAACGCAGCGAAGACCCGAAGGAGAGGGCGGTGATGCTGAACGCAGCAGTGGAGCTTGCGCAAGGCACGTTTCTAAACCAGATTCTATTTCACGAATTCGAGGAGGCGATTTATGACGATGCAGAAAACGGCCGGGCTCTGACCAAGGAGACTATGAGCGCAGTATACCTGGACCTCATTACTGCCTACAACGGGCCCGACATGACGTACAACGCCAGTGACGGCATCTATTTCCTCCGCATCCCACATTTCTACCTCAACTACTACGTCTGGGTGTATGCCACCAGCTACGCGGCGGGGGAAGCCATTGCCTCACGCTTTCGCAGTGGCGATCAGGGAGTGGTTGATGATTTCCTTTCGATGCTGAAACTAGGCAGCAGCGTATATCCCTTGGAGGCTGTGCGGGTGGCCGGTGTAGACTTGCTGGATCCGTTCGTGGTTGGGACGGTCATGTCGCGCTTTCAGAACCTGACGGAGAGCCTGGAGATGGCGTTGGATGTGGCAAGCGATGCCGAAAGTGTGGTGACGGTCAGCGCTGAATCTGAAGGCGCGGCCTCAAGGGCCTTCCCTTTCTTGTTGCTGTTGGCTCTGCCGCTTGTCACGTATCTGTAAACTGAGCGTAAGAATAAGGTCATGAGTGTTTCAGTTAGGATTTCGGGCTGCTGTCATCAGCTCTTTCATTTGCAAGTTGGCCCAGTCGCCTTATTGCATGCAGCAGCACCCTGGCATGGCGGTTGGAGAACAATTGGCGATGGACGTCTTTTTGATGAAGCTGAATGAACGCTGGAATAGACGAACCGCTGAAGGGGCTGACTAAATTGGGGTCTGTGCTCTCTCACATCTTATCGCACATGGATCCTGCAAGTTCCCTGGCTGGTATGTAGGTGCTCTGATGTCCGACGCTTGAAGTCCAAATTTTCCAATATCGTCCGTCATCAGCGGGGCAGCAAAATCATCCGCACAAGCCAGCAACATTGAATCTTGTGGTTAGCGTCCGTTGCGCCAGGGAGTTATTGCTAAGGAGGAATTCACTTTTAAAAGTGAAGTCATGAAATGAGAAACGAAATTTGAAAAAGTGAGCTCTGAACACTGAATGCGAACACTTGTGTCGTCGCTCTTAAAAGTGAAATCACTTTACCACTGAGCAAACGTTCGCTTTCAAAAGTCCCCGGCAAGTTTGCCGAGCAGGGACTGTTGGAAATCGACTGATGTGGTGTGGGCGTTGCGTACAGTTCACATTCGCTGGTGCAAAATAGGACGGGTAAGCACTGGGGCAAGCGACGATATGTCAACATTGTGCACAATGCCACGGTTATCCCTGCTGGCTCCCCAGTGCCCTGATTACAACTACATTTATATTGAGTCTGCTTCATGGCGCCACCTGAACATCTGGCTAGCAGTGCCCACATTTGGCAACTTGCGCCCCTTGTGATAACCAGTATAGCTGGCCCCATGAGTTTGAAAAGAGCACTTCGTGATGCACGAAACTCCCGGCTCCGGCCCAGACCATTTCCAAACAACGCAGTGCACAATGGGCAGAGCAAACAAATCTTTCCTCTGTCCAAGATTAATTGTGTTGATTCAGTGCATTGGCGGATGCCAGCGCGTTTCTTTGGGCCCATCTCCGAATCCTACTTCGTTAGGTCTAGTGCGGGGGAAGCAGTGACGCAGATGTGCCCCTGCCTGCATTCGCGGCTTGTGTGCGTACGCGCGAGCTTGGCACCTGGGGCCCAGACCTCCGAACCCTGCAACCCTGCCGACGAGCGACGGCCCAGCGGACGAGCCACCCGCAGCTCCCACGCGCAAGGCGAGTTCGAGCACCTGGAGGATCCGCGGCGAATCGGTGCGGAGATCGCGGGATGGCGGAATGGCGGGATTGCGGGATCGTTGGAACGGGGCGCTCTCGTGGTCGTCAGATGAAGGAACGGCGCCGACGGGCGTCGAGCCGGCGGAAGAGTCGGTTTCAAACAGTCCGCCGGAGGCCGCAGACAATTGCAAGCGCGGAGCCGCGAGGCGAACGCGGGAGGGAAGGCCGCGAATTTGAATGGGATCCAGCTCTCCGCCAGTGACGCTTCGCGCGGGCCGCTCTGCCAAACGACGTCCCGCGCGGTGGGGCGGCCCGATGCTCCCCGTCAGCGATCGTGACGCGCGCTGAGCGCGGGCCTTTGCTTTGTTTCCCGCAGGCAGCATGTGGACGCCTGGACATTGGGAGCAGGTGAGTCGCCAGGGCCACCGCGATCTCGCCCGCCTCATTCGAGCAAAAAATCCAAACCCCAGCGCGTGCATACCCTTCCGCCGCGATTGCCGCGCGGGGCTGTGGCGGTGACCACCAACTGGGGACTATCATAATCTGTCCCGCCGCTTCGTCCGATCGAGGAGCGATCCCTTGAGCCAGCGCCGCGTGGTGGAGATGATGGATCAGGCCCCGCCGTGTCCCTCCATTCGGGGTGCGCCAAAATGCAGCCCCGGGCTCAGAGCTGAAACGATCTCCGTGTGCCCCATCCAGGGTGTCTACAGGACGGGCAGCGGTCGGGCAGTGCGGGCGCCGCAGCGCTACGGCGTCGTGGCGTACACCGGCAGCTTCATGCCGCTCACCGTGGGAGGGCCCTACATGCCCTCCCAAGAGGAGCTGATGGGCCAGGCTCCCATGGCGGCGCCCCCGGGACCAGTGTTCGCCCATCAGCCCCAGGCGCCGATCGCCCAGGGCCCTGGCCCCCTGGCTCCCCCGGCCCCGCCCACCCCCCTCCTCTACAACGGGGGGCCGAGGGTGATATTGGGCAACCTGCCTTTGGTGAGTCCCGCCGCCCGTCCGAGCGCCGGCGCTGCGACGCGAGAATCCGATTTTGGGCACAGCGAGAATCCCATTCTGGGCGCCGCGAGAATCCGACTTTGGGCACTCACCGTTTGTTGTGCAACGGGCGCCAGAACGCCCAGCCGCAGGGCAACCCGCGGCAGTCCACCTGCCCGGGTTTCGAGAATCAAGGGTTCAACTTCATGAACACCCGTTGAAGAAGCCTTGGCGCGGCCTCCCGGCGATGGGGCCCGCTCCTCCGAGGTGAGGCGGGTCGAGGAGCGGACGCGGGGCGGCGCCCATCGCCATGGCGGCCTGCCCCATTGCCCGAGGGCGCCGCATTTGCCGCGTGGCGCGTTTCTGTTTCTTGCGCATTGGTGTCCTGCTGCGTCTCTCGACATTTGTTTGTCGACCATTGCTGCCTTGGGGCCCGCAACACGGCCCGTCGCCTGACGGAATGGTGTGCTGCGATGGCGCCCATCCCCAAATCATCGTTGGGGCCACTACCATCAATTCTTACAGAACAGCGCAATCAGGTCAGCTTCCTATTTTGCCAGAGCAAAGCAGAGTCTATGTTCAGTTCATTGAAGTCTAATCTGTTAATCTAATGCAATCTGAGGTAATGAACGGATGCCAACAACCTGGCTGTCACAATCAACATCATCATTTTACAGAACAAGGCACAACGAAGGAGCCGTCAGCTTCTTGTTTTCCCCGAGCAAAGCGGTTCTTATGATCAATTCATTGAAATCCAATGCGAAACCAATGTAATTTGATGCAATCATCCCAGCTGTCACTCACGCACCTTGGCTGCTGTCGCAGGACCACGAAATGGCCTACGGGTCGAAAGGAGGAGGTGCCGGGGGGCCGCAGCGACTTGGGCCCCGGGACGGCGATCTCTGACATCGCCAGCCAGCATCTTCGCTCATCATAGGCGCCAAGTCTTCCTGGGCGCAGCGTTTGCCGCCCGTGCTGTCTTACACTGCGGCGTCAACGCTCCATCTTCAACACACATGCAGAAAATTATAAAAGAAACAAAAATGGAAGAAAAAACACCCCCAGGGAACAAAGAGATGGGAGGCATCGGCCGTTGGAAGGTGGAGTTCAGGAGTCCCAACAGCCAGCGGCACACGTGGACGCAGTGCGCTCCATGAGCTGGCCACCAAGGGGAACCAGACCGCACACTGCGGTCGGAAGTCGAGGGTGGTGGGGAGCAAGGAGCTGCGTAGGAATTTCGCTATGCGTGACTGTGCTGCAAGATGCCTTTGGGTGGGAAGTGCTACAATTCAAGAGTGGACACACGAGCGGCCCTAAAACTGAGAGTCCGAGGCTGCACTGGGTGCGCAGGACGACCTGCTCAGCATCCAAACACTGAGAGGTGAGCAAAAGCGCACAACAGTGCTCTTGCTTAAGTATCAAACAAAATTACACTGTAGCACATAACACCAATCTGGATCTTTTACATGAAATATGTTGCAATTCTGTGTTCGGGACCCAAGCAAACAACACTACATACCGCTCACGAGGCCAGGTCCGTTGCGCGAGGACGCTGGGTTTGCCGCGTTGTTGTTTCCATTACTGCGCGTTGGCGTTTCACCCGCTGTCTCTCGGCATTGTTTGTCGTCCATTCTTGCTCTAGGGCCCGCAAGACGTAATGACGTAATGACGTGTTTTGATGGGGCCTATCGCCCAGTCATCCTGGCTGTCATTCAGGCGCCCCGAACAGAAGTAAAAATAGGGCAAATCACGAGATTTCGAACCGTGTAGAAGTAAAACTGCGTCAAAACGTGCAAAAATTATGTACACTCACTCAATCGTACTTCGCGGTTTGGTCCCCTTTTTGTGCACTTATCACACATTTTTAAATACACATTTAACATGATCTAGCACTATTTGTACGCGATTTTCAATCGTGTTACACGATTTTCAATAGTGTGTACTTTCGCCTGTTCTTTACTGGTGGATTGAACTCGCAGGACCACAGAAATGACGTATTAGGTCGGAAGGAAGAGGTGCCCGGGGACCGCAGCGGCTTGAGTACCAGGCCGGCGATCTCTGACATCGCCGGCCAACATCTTCGCTCATCATAGGCGCCAAGTCTTCCTGGGCGCAGCGTTTGCCGCCTGTGCTGTCTTCCACGGCGGCGCGAACGCTTCATCGTCAATACATTTGGAAAAAATATAAAAGAAACAAAAACTCAAGAAAAAATACCCTCAGGGAACAAAGAGATGGGAGGCATCGGCTGTTGGGAAGTGGAGTTGAGGAGTCCCAACAGCCAGCGGCACACACGGACGCAGCGCGCTGCAGGAGCTGGCCACCAAGGCTGCACACTGCGGTCAGAAGTTGAGGGTGGCGGGGACGGAGGCGTGCTGTGTGGGCATTTCAGAGTTGCCGCATGATGCCCTTGGATGAGCGGTCTTGATATTCAGGAGCCCAAAGAGCATGAAGCTGGGTTGGGTACGCAAGGCGAGATGCTCAGCATCCAGGCACTTGAAGGTGCGCAGAAACGCACCAAAAGGCAATTTGACATAAGTAAACTAGCAAATGCCCCTCCTCTTCTGTAGTTTTCCAACATACAGAGTTGCGCTGATATTTAATTGCATGTTACAGACATCACATCAACTTGTGTGCAGCAGAAAGCACTTTCAGGCTGGATTGGAAAATGCGGATACGGCCTGAAGCAAAAATACGGCAAAATGAGTGTATGATCACGTATTGTCGTTTTGGGCCTCAACATAAGCCTAAAGCTACGGCATATACTTTCGCAGTTACAGCGTCAATGACAGGAAGAAGGTAAAAAATAAGCACCCATTGTCAAAAC